ATTGTTCGGCGTAGTCTAGCCGAGCCTCGACAATTAGTGCTGGCGCAGAACAGAATTTTTGTTTCGCCAAAGCTTGGACAAGCCACGGCGGCAAGTGCTGGCTGAGTATAGAAAAATTGTTCACAACGCTCTTTGCCAACATTGCTTTTTTGACATAAACTTGAAAAAAATTATAAAAAAAGTTTATGAATGTTTATAAATATAAATTTATTGAAAAAAATTAATATTTTACTTTTCAGTTGTTCATTTTATATTTTTATTAAATTTAATAATAATAATTTAACATAATTGTCTAATTTTGTAAATAATAAATTATTTAAACAAATTAAAATTATAAACAAAATTTAAACTTTAATCTCAATAATAATTTGGTTCCTATTAAAATACTATTATACTTCTTACTACGAATAAAAAATCATTAAAAAATTACCACGTAATTTAAGAATTACGTAAAATGTTAAATGCAATAAGTAAAGTAATTTAATTTAATTATTAAAAATTTAGTTTAATTTATTTTATTTCAATTTATTATTTCTAACGTATTCCTATTTTTTTCTCATCTTTGACTCAATAATTGTATGTCTGAATGATACTGAGATATTAATACTTTACTGTACATATGTGTCGTTAGCATAGTGGTTAGAGCGTTAGTCTGTTAGTCCGTAGGTCGTAGGTTCGATTCCCCTCGTCAGCAATTTTGTTTATTTTCATAGGTTTGCGATATTTCTAGATTCCAATCGTTAGGTACTAAAATATGAAAATCTAATGCACACTTACTGTAATTGTTTATTATTTAATTTTTAAATGTTATAAACAATTTTTCTCTACTTCATTTACTATATCCATTGTTAGTCTCCATCTTTAATACAATTTCTTTAAGAAGAGAAATATTTTATGAATAATAACTATTTATTAATATTATTTACCATTTTGTTGTTAAATTATTTATAATTATGAATTTACGACTAATTAATAACAATACGGCATTTATTGTGGCAATATTCTTAGCCAGCACTGCTCCAGTGCTGCGTCTGGCAGCACTGGCAGGCAGTACTTCGCCAGCGTTAGACAGCGTTATCATCCCAGAGTTATGCCAGTGCTGGCGCAGTACTCCGCCAGTTGTAAATTTCCCATTGGGACCCTACAAGATAGTTACAATAATTTAATAGTTAAACAAAAATTTTCAAACAAAAAAGTTAAGAAAATGTCATTTTCCACAATTTTTGGTTTTTAAAATACCAATAATTTCGAAATTTATTATCGAATTAAGTTTAAAAATAGGTCAATCAAAACGTTTTTTAATGCTCTACAAGTCGGTAACGATAATTTAAAGATTACTTCTTCATTTTTCAACAAAATTTTCAAAAAGTCTTATTTTCCAAAATTTTGAATTTTTAAAAGTTTAATATCTCCGGTGAATATGTGCGAAAAATGTTCAATTAGGGCTCAAAAGATGCGTCTAGAAAAACTCTACAAAATTATGGAAAAACATTTATAGGTGTCTTAACATTTTTTTAAAGTTATGGGCAAAAAACTTTTTTTGCAAAATTAAAAATAAAAAAAAATTTAGTTAAACTTTATTAATTTATCAGAAAGTACTCTCACTTTATGTCCGCAGGTGAGATCTACAATTAAAAAAAAATTCAACCCAAAAGCTCTTCATGATTTCGAGATATTTATGAAAATGTGATGTTTACACACACACACACACATAGGGAATGACATTTTTTAAAATGTCATTTTTGAACTCCTGAGGTCAAATAACATAAAGATATGTCAAAAAATCGAACTCGAAAAATTTTGGTATTACACTGAGAAAACATTATACTTAAGTGAAACACAAAAATAATGTTAGACGATTTTGTTTAATTGAAATTAGTTTGCAAGTTTAATCTCAATATATAGAAAATATTTACTGCATTGATTCAAAAGTATTATTTGTTTGAATAATTATATTTAATTCAAACATATTTTCTGTTACGGTTTAAACAAAAATGATGTTTAAAAATTTTATGTTTAAATGAAACTTAAAAGTTGACTACAAATAATTTAAAATCAATCACAATTTATGTTTGATTTCAATATATAATCTCTTAAACTGAACCAGAAAATATGTTTGAATCAAACTTAAATATGTTTCACTGTATGGCAAAGATATTTTAAGTTTGATTTAAACAAAATTTGTTAGAATCAAATAATTTCTTTTCTCAGTGTACAATACTTCCTCTATGAGGAAGTAATAATTAATTAAAAAAGATTTTTTGTTAATGTTTAAATAATGTTGAGGCAAAATGAAATTTTACCTAAGGGTGTTGGAACAAGAAAAACCTTTAAAAATAACTGTCAGAACTTATGCCTCATCTGAAATGGATTATTATCACACTGAGAAAAAGATTTATTTGATTCAAACAAATTTTGTTTAAATCAAACTTAAAATATCTTTGCTATACAGTCAAACAAATTTCAGTTTAATTCAAACATATTTGTTGGTTCATTTATAGATGTTATCTGTATAGTATATGTATAATTTAATAAGTTATAATAAGTTCTAATGTGCCTTTATGGTTGGCTCAGGAAAGAGACAGAGAATATATCAACTACCTGCTATTTTCAGATAGGAGAAGGGCAGTCTCTGTTGTGCCGCTGACCGAAGCGCACCGTTTGTTCATAGTTATTAATACAAATCAAATAACAGAATACCGTAAGTGAGGCTAAATTCGCTCAATTTTTCAATTCTTTTTTAAATAACTTCGGGAAACGATGAAAATAAACATTGGCACTGAAAATATATAATCTTTAACCCTTTATCTTTCCTATTACTGCATAAAGAAATTGAAATATGTTGCAGAAAATTATTTATAAGCCGTTTTTTTGTGAGCGAATTTACCTTTAAATGATGGGTAAATTCGCTCACCATTATTATTCTGGCAAAATATATTATAATCTGCAAAAATGAAACTAAATATTCTTTAGAATCAATAAAGAAAAAAATTAAGAACAATATTCAAAGTTATTGGAATAAATATTTAATATTGTTTTATCAATAAGTAATTAGATTCAATCATTCAATCAAACGTACTCATAACCATAAAAAAACAAGGTTAAGTTTGACAGTTTAGTGCTTAAACCGTTTTAAATCGTTTAATTTTCAGTTATAAGAGTACTATTATTTAAAAAAATCGAATTATAAATTAAAGTAATTAACATACTTAAAATATCCAGGCCCAAACATCTTTTTTGTAGACTTATTTCCTGAGCGAATTTACACAACAAATTTGAATTTTTTTTTTTAATTGATTTTTTGCAGAATCTGTTTATTGCTTTAATTTTTGTGCTTTATGAATATCATGTTGGAGATACAGGAAATGTAATGTTCAGAAGTATTCAACTTAAAAATTTTGAAGTAAAGCTTTATTTCCTACTTTTTCATACTACTTGTTCAATATGAAAATTATTCACTTGTGTTTTAAATATAATTTCTACTGAAAGTTACCAATGAATTTGCTGCAAATAAATTTTAAATTAAAGTTTACCATTTATATTAACCAAAACAATTGTAAATCTTAAATATTTCTGTCTAAAAAGTATGTTAATCGAATTTTAAAAAATAGACATCGGTTGAGCGAATTTACCCTACATGAGCGAATTTAGCCTCACTTACGGTACCACAATAGAAATAATATATTTTATTCAAACATAATTTATGGTTGATTTTAAATTATTTATAATCAACTTTTAAGTTTGAATCAAACATAAAATTTTTAAACATATTTTTTGTTTAAACTAAAACAGAAAATATGTTTCAATTAAACATAATTATTCAAACAAATATTATTTTTAAATCAAAGCAGTAGATTTTTTCTTTAAATTATTTTTTTACTTGAATCGAGTATAATGTTTTCTTAGTGCACAATTCCGACAGTTATCGGAATATTTAAAAAAATCAGCCAGATTCAAGATACCATTTTACTAAAATGAATTAAGAATACAATTATTTACAATTGATTTTTTCATTACTTAATTAAAGCTTCAATTGAAAATAATAATGCAATTAGTTGCTGAGGATAATATTCAATGTGTATATAATTCAAAATAGAATTATTCAATTAATAAACGTTCTTCTAGCTCAATAAGAAATTTAATGAAAATTCAATATAGACCGCATCGAAATTCGTGATATCCGTGCCAAAAGAGGTTGTATCCGACTTCTTGTAACCGGAAATTTAAGCGGCATCAACCCCCGGTTGACCATGAGTTTGCCCTCATGTCGGAAACAGATACTAATATAATAAACAAGCGAAGCGTATCAGAGATTTTGGCTAAACTTGAGTTCACTATAATTTAAACTATACATATATACATACATATTCGAAGGTCGTCATCAAGTGTTCGCAAAATCTGTTTCCGAAAGAGCGCCACCGCATTTGCCAACAGTTTTTTTCCCCAAAAAAATTACAAAAAGAAAATCAGATGAATTTTTTTCCCTTTCAGCAAATTTAAGACAAAACAAAAGGAAAAAAACTTGAAAAATTTTTAATGCTTCTTTAAAATGTAATTGGCAAGAAAGATTTCTGCAGTATCAGAAGTATTTCTTTTTCTTTTACTCTAGATCTATAATATTGGCACGGAAAATATCTTGGCACCGGAAATACATTCTTAAGATGAGATTTTCGAAGACACTACGGTATACAATACACAATAGTATTTCTTCTTGTTAATTCTTTTATTTAAAACGTAGCCAAATTTTTTTTAATTTATTCGACAAGAGAGTAAAAAATTAGTTTGTTGATTTATAATAAATTAAAAAATGAATAAATTATTTTTATCTTTTTCAGTGGGAAAAATAGATTTCATGAAAAATATAGAAAGAAAAACGAGTTATTATTAACATATTCTTTTTTTCATCTAAGTGTCTCTACATAATAGTTATGTAAACAGTATTTTTATCGATGTTGATAAAACCTGGATTCGAAAAATTATAAATATTTCTTGGAAATCACCTTTTACAGCCAATAAATTGTGTTCGAATATACATACTATGTATGGACAGAAATAATTATTCTATTCGTAGTAACGCGCACGCTTATTTCACTCTTACTGAACAAACTTATAATTTTATATCTATTTCACATTTGCGCGCGCGCACACGTTTCATTTGTCCTCGGAATTTTAAAGTTCAAAAGCTATATTACATTGCAAGAACGATAGTAAAACAAAAAAAAACTTTGTACTTATTATTTTGTCACTGAATGTTCACATCAGATGGAATTTTTTCGGCTAATATACGTTTGTACTTTTTCCTCTCAGAAAAAGAAACAAAACAAAATCGTTAAAGGGAATATTCTATTTGAAAAATTTCTCCTGACATTTGATATGTTTACTAAGTGAAAAATAGTTTAAAGATTTATTTTGTTTTATAAAAAAAACATTTAAAAAAGAGTTAAAAAACTATGAAAAACTTATTTAAATTATATATAATAAGGTAGTATTATAATTTGTTGTCAGTCAAAAATGACTTTTAACAAATAAATTTTTTTCTCGGTAATAATTTTATTTAAAGTAATGAAACTTTTTACAGCATATTATTGAAATTTTTGCCTTTTAAGAATAAAAAACATTATTTTTACTATAATAGTTTCAGCACTAGATGGCACCAAAGCACCAAAGTCAAGATAAAAGAATAAACGATCAATCGGCGGACGATTGAGATTCCCTGAGAGAAAAATATGTTACAGGGTAACATAAATGATTGTACGGGGTAGAATCTTTAGTGCTACATTATACAGTATTTAAATTTATTTATTTATTTAAAATGAAATTATTTTAAATTTTATTAAAAGCATATTATTACGTTATTTAGATTAATTTAAATTGAAATGATTCAATTTTGCTAAGTAGATAATTTCCCTTTGACAAGGTAATTGAATTTATTTTAATTCCATTTCTGACCATGACCTGTATTGTCCATAAAAAAAGAGGACCCTCACTCGACGGAAGTACTTCAGATTCTTGAGACCTATGACCTTCGATAAGGAAATTCCTTGTGAGGTATCTGAATTTTTTTTCATTTTTAAATTCAAGAAAGAAGGATAAGAAAGAAAGCTAAATAAAGTGAAACCTTTTTTTCTCATATCAGACTTCTGTGAATTAATAAACTGCTAAATCAGATTTAATATGTAAATTTTTTTCAATTACTCATGATTTGTCTTATATTTATTACTTAATGAATAAGCTTTATATTGAAATTATTTACTTTATTTATTTATTTCTATAATATAAAAGAGTTATAATAATTTTTTTTTCAGAATACTATTTTCGTTTAAAATAAAGAAAATTTTCTGCATATACAGGTATATATATTATTAACCAAATTAGTTATTACTTATGAAAATGTAAAAAATTAATAGAATATTAATTTTTAAAATCGCACTCTTAGAAGATACGGTTAATACGCACTTGTCTTAAAGTTTATGGCTCATTTCATTTAAAAGGTAAAATATAGTCTGCAGGAAAGTTAAAATGTGAATTTTCGATTTTGTATTTGTAATCAAGGTTTTTTTATTATTTAATGTTCTAAAAAATCGAAAGGGATAGTGGTTATAACATTAGACGTAAATATTTTTTTTAATGGCAGACAGCTTTTTGGCAGAATATGATCACTATTGTTTGGTTTTCGTTCAACTTTATTTTTTTAAATAAATGAACTTTTTTCTTTTTTTGTGTAAATGTTAAGATGCGTTTATATAAATAAATATTAATTCTATTACGTAGACAACAAACTTTTTTGGTTTTTATACAAAAAATGAGAGAAAATTGGTTACGGTACTGCGGGACAGTAGGGGACATTTGAAACAAGTTGTAAATCCAGATGTTCATTACATGAACATTTTGCTTCCTTTTTACGATCATCAAAAAAAATGTGCTTCCTCGTGGAGGAAGCATTAACGATAAATATATTTCATTTTTAAATCATTTTTAATACAATTTAACATTTATAAAATAAAGTGCATTCGTCTTAATAGAAAGAATAAAATTTTCTTATACAGTAATATGAATCTAAATAAACAAAAAAATTGTTAGTAAAAAAGTGAATTTTTCAAATTTGATTGTAATTAATTCTATAATTTTCAATAGAATATATACTTTATATACATCAATCGATTCGTCTTGATTTAAAGAATAAGATTTTTGATTTATTTTTTAATAAATAATAACATTTTATTGTATAGCAACATGATTTTTAAGAAAAAATGAATTTTTATTAATAGTGCAAATTTTTTGTCTATAATTGGTTTTAATTCTATAAATTTAAATACAATATATACTTTACATATACCAATCGATCCATCTTGGTGCAAAGAATAAGATTTTAGAAATAAATGAGTAAGATTTTCTTATACGCTAACATAATTTTGCGGAAAGAACTCATTTTTTGATAAAAATGCGAATTTTTCAGCTTTAATTGTGATTAACTCTGTAAATTCTCATACAATTTATACTTTTTATATACCAATCGATTCGTCTTGATGCAAAGAATAAAATTTTATTTTATATTAACTTCAATAACCAACTTAAAAAATTTTTTTTAGAAAAAAGTCAAAAAAAAATTTTTTTTTGAGAATTTTTTAAAGTCTATTAATCCATTTCGAGATATTTTTATGATAAATATACCTGGTAAATTTTAGCCAAATTCGTTAAAACCTCTTCGAGTTATCGTGTTCACAAAAATCGGGATCCACACACACACACATCCATACATACATCCGGACAATTGTTCAGGGTCTTATGTAACATAGTCCTATATAGAAGAAAATTTGTTAAAAGGATTTTTAAAAATTTTGTAAATTAAACGACTACAAAGCTTCCTCACGAGGAAGCAAAAGAAACAGAATATAAAAAGAACAAATATTATATTAAGAATATCTATACTATATATTTATATAAATAACTTCTTATCATATAAAACCAAGTTCCTGTTTTTTATAGCATTGAATTTAAAAACTCTTACCCACATAATAAGAATAAAGCGATTATACGGGACAGTAGGAGACATTTTGCTCTTTTCTTGATTCACAACATAAGTATGTTATTTAGAAAGCAACGGCAGCTGTCAGATTTCTTAAAGAATTGAAACTTTTTGCTAATAACACAGGTCAACAAAAAAAGACTTACTTTTTTTATGAGAAATCGGAATGGTTTCCGATGTATTTTTGGACGCTGAACACGATCCCGAATTCCAAAATTGCCCATCACGTCAGGATTTTGAGAAAAGCGGGGGTAAAGACCCCAAAAACGCTTTCTTGAGGATTTTTAACATTTTTTTTCTCTTTAATCTGACGTGCTAGAGACTTCCACAAGGTCTTAAATTAAAGCTTGTAATGTGCACTACAAGACCCATATCCATAAAATAAAAAAAAATTAAAATCTTTTTTAAAAAATGGGGTTGAAGACACCATAAAGGTGTGTTTTTGGATTGCTTTAATAGACTTTTTGCAATTGCTTGGATTCGATTGAAAATTGTTACTCGGGGTTTTTGGAGACGTTGATTACGAATCCGAAATTAGTTTTCAAAAATCCAAAATGGCGAATTCGTAATCACCGACCCCAAAAACCCTGGAGTAACAAACTTTCAAGCGAATCCAAGCAATTCTTAATTTTTACATCTGCCATCTTGGTTTCGCCATTTTTAATTTTTGAAAACTAATTTCGGATTCGTAATCAACGTCTCCAAAAACCCCGAGTAACAATTTTCAATCGAATCCAAGCAATTGCATGAAGTCTATTAAAGCAATCCAAAAACACACCTTTATGGTGTCTTCAACCCCATTTTTTGAAAAAGCTTTTAATTTTTTTTATTTTATGGATATGGGTCTTGTAGTGCACATTACAAGCTTTAATTTAAGACCTTGTGGAAGTCTCTAGCACGTCAGGTTAAAGAGGAAAAAAATGTTCAAAATCCTCAAAAAAGCGTTTTTGGGGTCTACCCCCACTTTTCTCAAAATCCTGACGTGATGGGCAATTTTGGAATTCGGGATCGTGTTCAGCGTCCAAAAATACATCGGAAACCATTCCGATATCTCATAAAAAAAGTAAGTCTTTTTTTGTTGACCTGTGTAATTGACTTATAAGAGATATAAAGTATTTAGTTACCATTTTACAGACGGGACAGAAGTGGACAACTATGTTACAACCGTTAATCAATTACTTTTCTGCCCCACTATATAATTTGTAGGATAGAGACCAGAACATTCTAATTGCTTTGATGTTTTGAGGTTATTCATTTATTATTGTAACATCGGTAAAACAGTGAGTGCACGGAAAAAATTAGTCGCTGAAGTTTTCAGCTACTAATTGAAGACTCTCGGATATGAAAAAAAACTTTACAGACTTCTTGAAATACTGTTCGCTTTTAGCAGAAATTCTCTGAAAAAAGTTGAGGACTTTTTATAAACCTAGTAGCGGAAAATAGTCGTAGAATTATTGTAACACTTTGATAGAAATTTTCGTCGACGAGTCGCGGGAAATGATGCGCAGAAAAGATGCGCAAACTCTCAGGCGGTAAACGTCACGTGAAATAATTTTGACTGACTTTGTTTACGTATTTTTTATTTTTATTTATTTATATTTTCTTAGCGATTTCAAATCAATTATTAAATAACAAAATTATAAAAAATAAAACAGTGTGTACAGGTATCATTACTTTTCAATGAGAAAGTGAATATTTTTATTTTCATTGGTATCGCGCACCTTTACGATGGAGAAGTTTAATAATAAAATATAAATATATATAATTATTAATCGTTAAAGAAGTTTTTACAGTAATTAACAGAAAAAAATTGTTTTGGTTTAATTATTATTTTCATTAAATATTATAATTCTTCTATACATGTGATAAATTAAAAATAATAAAATGGAAATAAGTGTAAAATAGTCCTTAACGCATACTGAAATACTCTTTAAAATTCTAGAATATGTTGAGCAGAAATATTTAAGATTTATAATTTTCAAAATATTGCACTTTTTCTCGCAAGCGGTAAAGAAATGTTCCATTTAATATATAAGGACGATGAAAAAGTAGATT